ACTGAAATTCCCCAAATTCATGTTCCTGTTCCCCATCCCCTGCCACCCATTATCCTAAGGGGCTCCCCGGATCACCACAGCTAAGGCTTCCCCAAAGTTACTTAGGTGTCCGCTTCTATTTTCTTCCCAAGTGATAACACTGAACTCCCGTATGTCATCTTCCCTGTCCCTCTGTAATTTCCTGAGCTCTAGGAATGATTACCCCAAAGCCCACCAAGAGGACTCCCCAGGACGACATTTTGAGGGATTCCAAATGGTCATCTCCCTGGGCCCTCAAACTTTCACCCTGAGATTCCTGGAGAATGTCCTCCCCTCCACCCCGCTCCACAGACGTGGCTGTTCTCACCTCCTTTGGTCACTAGTTCTTTGCCAGTAGTAAGACTAGGATCGGTGGCCTTGGCCGTGGACTCCGCTTCTCGCTCCAACATCCTGCTGGCCCAAGAACCTAAAGGGAGGGCCTAGGGCCGGGAAGGGGGCGACGCGGGTGATTACCAGGTTGATGGGGATGGAGCAGGAAGGCCTAAAATCAGGAGTCTGTCGGGTCAGTGTGTTTAGGTGCGGGCTCTACTTACGTCTGGGATCCTAAAGCGAGTGCGAGAACTGAGGGAAGGCCGAACCTAAGAGCACGATGGGCGGGGCTCTGCAAAGCTGACCTGGAGGCCTTCTCTTTGCAACTTAGACCCAGGGTCCTAAGCGCTGAGCGGGCGAGCCTATGCCTAGAGTGGGCGGAACCTCCCCATCAGAACCTCCCAGCCTCGGTACCTACGACGGGAATGGGTGGAGCTATACAAATAGAACCCCTCGTGGGCTGCTCCGCAGCTCGGATCCAGGGGAGGGGCCTAAGAGCTCAGTGGGCGAGATTTCACATCGAACAGGTAGCTTTACCTGGCTCTTGGCTTAGTCTCATTCCACAGACGCCGCCTGGACCAGTAAATTTCTTCCTTGCCGCTAAATTTCATCCCAGGCATGGGGTTGGGGCCGCGGGGTGTAGAGGAGAGACCTGGAAGAAGACAGAAGGAACGTGGGCGTATTGCGATCCAGAGACCACTAACGGACCTCTCTCCCTCGGGATCCCAAGCGTCCTGCTCAATGCACCCCTCGGGATCCTGGCATTCGGGCACCAATGCACCCTCCCCAAGGCTCAGGCACTGATGCAGTCCCTCCGGAACCTGTGCATTTGGACCCCAAGCGATCTCTCTCCGGGAGATCCTAGCGTCCTGCCCCTCACCATTTTCCGAGGACCCAGGCGTCTGGGCCCAGACCCCTGCACTCTCACCTGCGGACGGCCGGTCCCCGGAGGCGGGGCTCCAGGCCCCTGCAGCGGCGGCGGCGGCAGCGACGGCTGAAGCAGCGCTGCCCTCGGACGCGGCGGAGTCGCACCTCCCGCCGCGCGCCCAACAGCGGTAGGGGAGCGCAGGGAGCGCGCGCGAGCGTTCGGGCCCGGCCTCATTTCCATCCCCTCCGCCCACGCTCGGCCTGTGGGGGCGTCAGGACGCATGCGCAGTCTCGGCTCGCGGGGGCTGGCGGGGGAGACGGGAGGGTGGGTGCGCGAGGCAGGCAAGTTGGTGAGCAGGCGCGGAACCCGCGGTCCAAGGACGGTAGGAAAATGTACAGCAGCTCGCGAGGCCTACGGTGGCTGGCTGGAGTCAAGTACATGCAGGAGCCAACACGAAGAAGCTGCCTTTAGATCTGTCACTGAGACAGCACCTAGCTTTTCTGTGCTCCTCTTCTTTCCGAGCATTTCGCCGTGAGCCTGAGTTCCATCTCCCGAGGCAGTTTCAAGGGCTGGCTGCCTTTCCACCCCTCAAGTCCCGCTAATTCGTGGAGAGAGGGCGGGACGGGGCTCCAGGCCGAACTGACGCCCAATAAAAGGCACGTGATTTGCATAGCGCCCCAGCACCCTTTGCCATTGGCTATTGAAGATTCTCAGCCCCTCATACCTCAATGCTTTGGCCCAGAAGAGAGAGGGTGCCCAGGCCCGTGTTCTGGAAGGGCTGGAGCTCCCGGTGCCCTACCCGGGGTGACATGCTTGGCACCCTTCCCCGGGCAGTGACCGTGCACGTTTCCGTCCAGTACTGGAATGACTGCGAAGTGCCCCTAAAAATCCGCCCAAAGATGGGTCTTCAGCCTGATAACCAACATGGTCTGGCGAGCCCTGGGAACCTGGGGAGTTAGACGGGAGTTATTTGAGCTCTGGAGCCAGAATGCATGGGTAAGTGGTTTGAAATCTTGGCCCTGCCACTTTCTAGCTGTGTGACCTTGGGCAAGGCACTTCATTATTCTGCGCCTCAGTTTTCTCGTCTATGCAATCAAGGGTTAGGATTAAATTCAGTAATCAATGGAAGTGTTTAGAACAGTGCCTGCAGTGCCCAAAAAATATTACCAACATTGCCTTTTGGGTTTATTGTGCATTAAACTAGGTCATGACAGGGTCAGGGTTGTCCCAGGAACCGCAAAGGCACAGATCTCAAGGTGGGAAGGAGGGTGCTGTGTTCAGGGTGTCTCTTCCTGAACATGTCATGCTATGCTCCAGACCCACTGACCTTCCGTTTCCTGTATGTGCTATGGTCAGCCCTACCTCAGGGCCTTTGTATTAGTTGCGCCCTCTGTCCCCAAGGCCCTTCCTCCATCAATTTGCTTGCTGATTCCCTCCTCACATCTCAGCTCAAATATTACTGCTACAGAGGCCTCCTCTGCCCGCCTGAGCTCACGAAGCCCCCTTCCCTCCATTACTCTCTTGTCTCATCCCCCTTATGTGCACTTAACCCTGTACACCTGTCTTCTAGAATGTATGCTCTGTTAAGACGGACAACTTGTTGATCTTGTTTATCTCTGTCTCCAGTATCCGGAACAGGGCTTAGCACACATTCAGCATTCAATAAATCAGTGTCAAATGAAGGCCTGAAAGAATTAATATCCAAGAGCCCTCTGTAATGGAAGGTAGAATGATGGGGAAAATGTAGAACTTGAGGTCAAGGAGTTGGCAAGAGGTCTAAACCAAATGGAAAACCAAGGGAGGGTTTTAAACACAGAAAGTGACATGAACTAGTTTAGATTTCCGTATACTCTTTTATGAACCATATTTTTAGGTTATGGAAAATTTCAAACATACTCAAAAGGAGAGGGAGAGGAAGAGTGTAACCAACTCCCATACTCATCACCCAGGTTCACATGGCCAGTCTTGTTTCATCATTCCCCAAACACCCCTCCTTGAGCCCATTGAATTATTTTGAAGCAAATTCCAGCTATTTCACCCAGAAACACTTCGGTCTGTGTCTTTAAAAGAAAATAAGAACGCTCTCTCTTTTAAACATAATCAGAGTATTATTATCACACCTTTCAAAATTTAGAGTCATTTCTTCATGGTATCAGTGTTCCATAGTGTTCAAATCGCCCCCATGTACAGCTGACCTTTAAACAATGTAGGTTTGAGCTGAGTGGGCCAATTGAAAAAAATCCAAGTATAAGTGGACCCTGCAGTTCAAATCCACATTGTTCAAGGGTCAAATGTAATCTTTTCTTTTTTCTTTCTAAGCATAAAGTTTTATTTTATTTCAAACATACAGAAGAGTCAAGAGAATAATAGAATTGTTCTCTGCATTTAATAATAGGATTGGCCAGCATCAACAATTGTTCAGTCATGGCCAGTGTTGCTTTATTTCCCCCACCCACTCCTTCCAGATGAATTTGAAGCTATATGGCAGACATCATATCCCATAAATATCTTTATATTACACTTGGTTTGTTTGAATCGGTATCTAAACAAGATCCACACGTTGCATTTGTGTGGCGTGACTCTTCATTTTCCTTTTCATTGGCATTTCAAAAGTCTCACTCTGGTTGCTGCATGAAAATAGCTTGTAGGGAGTCAGAGTGGAAGCCAGAAGCCTAGTGAGGCAGCTGCTATATATTAGTTACAATATTAGTTATCAGCATTTATTTCTCACTTATACCAGAGTGATTTATATCACTAGTGATTGATGTGTTCATTCATTTAATCCTAAAGCAACTTTTTAAAAGGAGGTGCTACAATTATCCTCATTGCACAGAAGAGGAAAATGAGACACAGATGGGGGAGGTCATTTATCCAAGGTCATTTATCCAAGGTCACACAACCAGGAAGTAGCAAGGCCAAGGTTTGAACCCTTGCAGCCTGGCCCTGGAATCCAGGTAATTTGTGTTTGTGCTTTGCCGCCTCTTCTAAGCTTTGGGATTCGTTTTTTGTTTTTTTTTAAGAGAAAAATGTTGAAACTATAGAACAATGAACCTGTACGAACATAAATGCAGATATTCTTACTCAAAAAAAAAAAAAATAGTGACTGAGGCAGAGGGTGTGATGGAAAAGTAGCCTAACCCTATTGGAGAGGTTAACTCAACAGGGCCTAGTGATGAGTTGGGAGGAGGTGGCAAGACAGTGAAGAAGTCAAGGACGGTGATGAAATAATGAGAGCCAGTCCCCACTGAGAGCTTGTTCTGTGCCAGGTGCTGTCCCCAACTCTTTACATGTGTGAATTCAGTGAGTCTTCGCCATGAGGGAGAAACTGTTTTCAACCCCATTTTACAGATGAGAAAACTGAAACCCAGAATAAGGCTTTGAGCTGGAGGTCACCCAGCTGGGAAGAAGGAAGCCAAAGTTTCTAACTAACTCTTGGAACACCCGACAGATGACCCTACAAAAACACCTGCCTTCAAGTGACAGGTTGGTGGTCCACAATCCTGCAGAAACATCAGAAATGAGCCCTAGGGGTGAGGTGGCGTTATTTGGGGGCCCCTCACAGTAAAGAGCACCTGAAGCTCTTTTGAATTTGGGGAGCTTTAGCTCCCTACAGCGTCTCACAGTAAAGAGTACCTGAAAGTCTCCATTTTCCTGGCTCCTCCCTTCCCGAAGCTCTTGGGAATCTTGGCACCTTTCTTTGTTTTGACCCTGCTGTCTGAGCCTCTCTCCCCGACCCAGACCAAGAACTCTCCTCTGGGTCTTAACTCAACTTGGGCCAGGCGAACAGAGACCTCAATGTGAGGAATAAACAGCAAAGTTCTCTCCTCGACTGAACTTTCCTGTCTGTTTTTCTCTTCTCTGGGTGCCTCCCGGATCTGAGAGATTCTCTCCCTCTTTCTGCAGATTTCTCCCTGCTCTAATGTCCCAACATCTCTTTCCATCTGTCACAATCTTCTAGAAACTCCAAGTGTGTCTTCGTGACCTTATTTCTTTGATAAACATCTCATTTCAATTCTGTATCTCTCCATGTATCTCTGAAATCTCTCCAGGTCTCTTTCTTTAGTATCTCTGAGTGTTACACTCTCGAGTCTCTGAGGGGCTCTCTGAGTCTCTCCCCTAATAAAGACCGCCAGGAATACTAGGAGTCTGGCAAAGTTTGGTATTATTGACTTGCTATAGCAAGGAGAGAGGACCATAGAGGGAGCACCAGCTGTCTCCTCAAACACAAGGGGCCAGAGAGTTATAGGATTTTTAGGAAAAATGGCATATATATTAAATTTAAATGAAACAAAGCTCGATAGGCTCAAGTCAAAGCAGACTTTGTGGAAAGAAATTAATGTGGGGCTTGGCCTGAGAATCCCATCCAAGGCCTGTGCCTTGCAAACTGCAGAGTTAAGACAATTGTGGGATGTGCGTTGACCCCTGAAGAATGCAGGGGTTAGGGGCGCCCCCTGCCCCGCACCAGCCCATGCAGTTGAAAAGCCACCTATTGAATCCTCCCAAATTTAACTACTAATAGTCTACTGTTGACCGGAAGCTTTATTGATAACATAAACAGTTGGTTAATACATATTTTGTATGTCATATGTATTAAATACTGCATTCTTACAGTAAAGTAAGCTAGAGAAAAGAAAGTTAAAATCATAAGGAAAAGAAAATATATACATAATTTTATGCATTCATGACATATCCTTTTCTTATTTTTTTCATATTTCTAGGCTATGCGACTCGTCTGCAAATTTTTTCAAATTGTCACAGTTTCCCCCCAAATTTCCAAAATATTTAATGAAAAAATAATCCGTGTATAAGTGGACCAGTGCAGTCCAGACTCATGTTTTCCAAGGATCAACTGTAGTGGCCAGAAACCCTTCTTCTGGAGCACGTGGGCTGGAAATCATGACTGCTTCGCTGTGACAAAGTGGCTCAGACCCTCCAGACAAGAGTGGGGTGTCCCATTCTCACTGCTGATAGGATTCCAAACCACACACTTCCGGCAGGCTGTGACCAGACAAAACAGTTCTCAAGTTTAGGTCCTTGGTGTAAACGAACAAAAGCCATGTTCAGAGGTTCTCATCCCAACAGAAGCCATGACCCCAACTGAATTTGTAAGATACAATGCAAATTAAATTTTTTTCCCAATGATTTCTTCCTAGGAAGAAATAAACATTCCTGATAAAACAAGCAATTTAAAAATAAACTTTAATGGGATCGAGTGTTGTTCTGGAAGCCAGACACCCAGTCAGTAGTCCTTGAAGTGACTTGGAGCCAAACAATGAGGAGCCAACCACCGTCTTTTCCTATAAGATGGCCCTTGGGCTGTGAGTGAATTGGAGCCTCTTGTTGAGTTTCTACTTCTCCCTCTGTCTGCGCCTCACCCAGCGTCTCTCCCTCGGCCTTTGAGTGTCTCCATGCTCCTTGATTCTCTGGGTCTCACTATGTTCGCGATCTCTCTTGTCTCCCCGCCGCCCCCGGCCCTGCTCCGGGGGCCCCCGTCCTGGTCCCACCTCCCGGCCCGCGGCCCCTTTAAGACAGGCCCCGCCCCCGCGCCCGCAGCCCCTTTAAGGCGCGCCCCGCCCTCGCCGCGTCGGTCTGGGTCAGTCCCGTACACCCGGCTTCCGAGGGCGCTGGCCACCGACCGCTGCGTCCGCACCCGGCCGCCAGCGCGATGGCGCCGGCCGCACTGAGGGTCGCGGGGCGGCGGCTCAGCCAGCACAGCCGGGCTGGAGCCCCCGTCCTCCTCCGGCAGGTGACAGCTGGCGGGGCCGGAGAGCGGGATAACCCGGCCGGGGAGGCGGCAAGGGCGGAACTCCCGGGTCCTTTAAAACGGAAACGATCTAGGAGCCCGGGCTCGGAGCCGGTTCCTGGCTCTTTTACCGAAGACGGTGCTGGGGACCCTGGATTGAGGGTATTAGAAAATGGATACTCCTCGGTCCTCGTGGAATGGGTTGCTGGGGCCCCAGACTTCTGCATCTGGGGGAAGGAAGTGGCTGGGTTTCTGCTTCTGGCTCTTAGGAAGGGAATCGAGGGGAAGCCTGGACTCCCGGGTCCCCAGTGAATGGGGTTCTGGTTCTGCGCTCTCACCCGCGCCCCCCGACCCCTCCCAGATGTTTGAGCCCACGAGCTGCACCTACACGTACCTCCTGGGTGACAGAGAGTCCCGAGAGGCCATTCTGATCGACCCAGTTCTGGAGACTGCGCCTCGGGACGCCCAGTTGGTCAAGGAGCTGGGGCTGCGGCTGCTGTATGCTGGTCAGTCTCGGGGCCAGACTTCTTGTCTGAGGGAGGCGAGGGTGGGGGCTGGGAATCCTGCGTCGCCTGTGTGCTCCCCTGGACCTGGCGCTCCTCTCTCTCCCAGTGAACACGCACTGCCACGCGGACCACATTACGGGCTCAGGGCTGCTCCGGTCCCTACTCCCCGGCTGCCAGTCTGTCATCTCCCGCCTTAGCGGGGCCCAGGCCGACCTGCACATAGAGGATGGACAGTCCATCCACTTCGGGCGCTTCGTGAGTTGGATGCTGGGTCCCCCAGAGGGTAGTGGCCCGGGCTTATTGGATTTAAGAGAAGAGAGGACTGGGGGCCTGGCCTCCTGACCCTTGAGTTTCTGTCTCTGGGAGGAGGGCGCCATTAACCCAGGTGGGGCACTGGGGCGAGAGGCTCTGGGCAGGTGTGTCTCTGGCCGAGCCCCTTAAGTCAACAGCACTTAAAGAGTTTCCTGCGGCTTTAGTGTGGCTCCTTTGGCCTGGCGCCTCCCTAAAAGTGAATTGGGGGCTGAAATGCGGAGGCTGGGGCTGAAGGAGACCCAGCCTGCTTTCTGAGAGACACATCTGAAGGAAGTAGCATCCTGTTGCCCAAGGTCAGGACTCGCAAGAGGCCAGCGAGGCGCCTAGGGTGCAACGTTTAAGGAGGCGCTCACTTTCAGGGTCAGCGCCCTCCAGTGAGCTTGGTTCCTTAAACGCTGCGCCCTGGGTGCAGCTTTGCCTTCCCCCGGCAGTCTGGCCCCAGCCCTGCTTTTGCCCCACACCAGAACCGTCTGAAGGTACCTACGTCCTCTCTTTTCTTTGCCACAGGCATAACGGGCAAGTTTCCGGGCAGAATTTCAACACGGGGCACTATGGAGGGGTGGGGAGGGCGCTGGGCG